TACCTGTAAATAAATAAACCAGGTTCCTAGGTCTCCCCTTAAAATTTTAAGGATGCTAGACATGTTGGTGATATCGAGCTCGGTACTGCAAAGGGTTTGTACCACATGACTCACAACACGCAAAGAACGTAAACCGTGGGTTCTCGCAAAGGCACTAGCATCCGCCCTAAAAAAAAGAAAAAACTCATGCGAACGTCAGACTGAAAAAAAAAACAGCAAAGCTTTGCCATGAAAATCTCTAGATTACTTCTTACTTGAAGTCCTCACACATTACTGGTGGCGGTATGTGGAAATATATTCAAGAATATGAAACGCAGACCAACAGGAGCCGACCGGTCAACAAAGAAAACCGGAGAACCTATAGTGGTCGTGCCATATTTTCCTTGGGTTACGCGCAGGTTAAACAAAATTACAGGCCGGCAAGGAGTTCAAGTTCTATGCTCTGCGCCGAACAAGGTCAATTCTATGTGCGGCAAGGAAGACCATGAAGGGCCAACGGAAAAATAAAGTGACACAAACCGAAGTACAGTGAACTACACTCTCAACAAAAGGGTTGTCGTAGGGTACTACACTTGGGGTAGTCAGAAGCCGTCACAGATATCGCTACCCCCCCTTCGTTATACTTACAACCCCATGGGCAGTCAAACGGCACGCAATCAGCAGGTAATCACAGTGAGCACCCCCAAAAGCAACATGGCGGCTGGCAAACGACAGTGGAGCAATACGAGTAAGGCCTAGCGAGCTGGACTGCTTTTTGCTAAAATACGATTCTCAAGTGCGTACGCCCGTTCGCTGCCTTCCGTGCGCACAAAGCACTCCGAAACGCGCCTCGAAGCACCGGCACCGCACCTAATACGAGTAGGGGCGACGATGTGAGGGGGAGGGGGAGGGGGGGGGGGGGGGGGGGGGGGGAGCGCGTTCGAGGGGGTTTGTCCGCGATTGCTTTCGCGAGGCCGGCTGCATTTACTTCACGGCCAGAAAACATTCAATGAAGGAAACAAAATAGCGACGTCTTTATTGAACAGAGCATCTGGTTGCTGTGCTTGCCGCAAGTGATCCGGCGTTTTCGGTTGACAGCGGCGAGGCGAAGCATCACCGATTTAAGCGGCGTCGGTTCCGATCGTTCAACGCTCCTGCTCACCTGTTAGCATTCGTTATCCACTTTCAAGTCCCTGGTAATCCTCACCGCGTCTGTGCACGCACTTGGCGCTATTCACCGCACGGAACACCCATTCAACTGGCTATGGGACTGATCCCACTTGGACGAGAGGCCGACAACCGAACCAGACCGAACCCTTTGTGGCTGCTACGTGGAGCCATGGAACGCCTCCATGTTTTTCACTCAAATAAGTAGACACATAAGCGCGCGACTCCTTGAATTGGGCAGCGACACGCGCCACCTAACAGACAACGCTCAAACTAAAAAAAAAACAAAAAAACAGCAATTGTTGCTTTGAGCGCCTCGCCAGACAATGCCGTATGTACATATCCCACGCCACACTTCACTCATACGCGACATACAGACATCACAGCATTTCATACATCAACGCATTCAGACACAGATCAAGATACAATATCACATATTGACACTCTACATTCCTATACACACGTCTAGAAAAAAAATTGGCTTGCTCTTTATGTTTATACAGCCTTGATGGGGGCCTCAACGGGTAATCGGTCTCTTAGCTGTAGATGAGAAATTTAGCCAGTGCGGTACAAGCGCTAACCTGGGATTTTTAACGTGCATCACGCAGTAGTGATCACACGAACGCGTGCCGGTACGAAACTCATCCAGATCGAAACGGGCGGGGGCGGCGGGGATCGAACCCAGGAGGTTCGCAGCAGCGCAAGCTTTCGCTCCACGCTCCGAGCTGAGACGCGTTAGCCCACTCGGCCACGTCTGTCTTCCCCTCACACGTCTAGTCGACACCACCAGCTTATATAGTGCTGTATTTTATGTGACCGATTAGGATGGTGACCACTGTCATATTTTGCATAAATACGAAAAGACTGTGCAAGATTTAGCCGTATATATTCTTTTCCTCTACTGCCCTTAGGAAAGCGCTCGTATCTCTAATGTAGGGCCATTGCAAAAGTGAACCGCAGGTTATAAATAAATTTGAATAGTTGCTACACGTCACATTTTGAACAGTTTCGTTTTCTCGCTTGCCTACACTTCAAGTATACAGAAGCCTGTTTAATTAATTGTATTAATTACCGAAACCAATTTCTGCAATCACAACTTTCTGAACACACTGATGCATTTTCTTTTCTCTTTTTACATATCCAGAATGACTTTAGCGGCGGTTGGGTACACGTTGAGTACACTGAGCACGCGCAGGTGATTTTAGCGAAGCCCGTCCGCCGGTCCTTCCCGAAGCGTTATTTCAGTTTTCTTCTTTTCGCTAAATATCCGTTTTATGCGCTCGCGCTCGCGCCGAGAGGACAGTGCAGAATTGCTGCTTTCGGGCCCGTGCCTTCACCTGCAACGAACGCGAAATACGTATGCTAAATTATCTAAATCCTGGTTGAGACAGTAGTGTTTGACTGCGTCCGTCTGACTGCGTTGCGGCAGCAAGAAACCAGGACATCCCTGCTGCTTACATCGCGTGCCAAGATGATTCCTTGAATTGGATTCCACGCTTGATACGAAGCACAGACGTGCCGGTGAGTGGCTTTCGGTTCTCGACGCAACGCTGCCAAACGCTAGTGTCTGAACCGGCCTTGCTTAAAGCATTTTTTTTATCGAGTATGCTCGATGAAATGTGCCAAATGAAGCAGAGAAGGCGAATCGTGTACCTCGAGACAGAGAAATAGTGAAATACACGGACATGATCCCAGATATCTGTGTACGTTCGTCCTGTCCGGCCTCAGTCGTGGTGTTCAATGCTTCATACTTCACTGCACTTGAAAGCAAAAAAAATGGGTACGACAGGCGCGCAAGTTCGGCGGAAGCGAGGAGGCCAGTTGCAACTGATCTGCACGCAGAACTGACCGATCATACCTTTATTGAGAGCACGCTCTTTACTGAACCGCACAATAAAAGACGACGAGAGTATCTCGTCCGGCGAACATTCAAGTCAACTCACGCCTGTGCGTAGCTTCCTGTACTTTTCTAGAGATTTGGTTAAATTCCTCGAGCACGACGCCAGCTGCCAGCTGTTTACTGCTGTACATGGTAAAACCCGCGACGGAACCGAAAAGGACAACCGCGATACTTTTTATCTGCCTCGGGTTTTAGCAGGTGCCTACCAAGGTCGCCTGTACTTGTTTGTTTTCTGCCAGTTTAGGCGAACTGAGCCACATGCTTGTTTCGACCGGTTCAAATTTGAATAAATGATAACCAACGCACAAAGAAAACAAGTTTCAAGTACTTTTTGAGATTTTTGAAGTGACTTTTACTATTGAACGACTGCATGCACTTGAATGTTCAATTCAAGAGTTTATAAAACGTGACTACCCCATGCTTGTCACCTGCCAACAGGGTGCTAACTAGGGGTGTCGCGAACTTTCGTCGAACCAGATTTTTAGGTCGAACTTTCGGGGTTCGACTGGGTCGAACCGGTTCGTCGAACCGGTTCGACGCACCTTCGAACTTTTCAACAGATTCGACCGGTTCGACTTTGTGGACAGTGTGGCCAGACCTTGATACAAGCATGTCTAGGTTTGGAGGATGTTTTTTTAAGAAAAGGGTTATTTTATTTTATAAACGGTTGCAATTAAAAGAAACTAATTCTAATCACTAAAGAGGTTAATAAATTAATTTTTTTTGTACTGTATTAAGTGAAATAACCAATCAGCGCTGCCCTTAATTTATCCCTTAGCCATTACCATCCAATCCAAAGCCAACTGGCCAGCCTGTCGCGCATGCGCACACGAGTCGAACCTCAATACAAGGTTCGTCGAATTTTCCACTAAAGGTTCGAAAAAGTCGAACCTGGTCGAACTCGAACCTCGGCCGGTTCGCGGCACCCCTAGTGCTAACTCTCAATGGCTCGAGCCCAGTGGGTAGTTAAGTAAGCCTGTGGGGTAGTTACAGCCGTCAAAACGCACGATGACGAGGGGGGGTGCTCACTTTTTCTTAGAGTGTAGAACAGATCTAGTTCACTGTAACCCAAGGACCAACGTAAAAAAAAAAATGTAACAAAGCAGACAAAACCAAGTATGTTCACAGCTAAAAAGAGGTTGTCTCTCATATACGTATACATATACCCTTGGCATGTGGCCAGCACTATATTGGCCAAATAGGCCGATATATCAACGACTGCACACTCATTTTCGTGAATGCCAACGTGAGGCAAGATTGTTGAACTCCGGCCTCGTGGGCCACCATCGAATCCCACTTGGCCGAGAATCGCTAGAAGCCCTAGCCACTGATGAGAAGGGACAAGATTGCGCCAGTGCCCCCCTTCTGTTGCACTCCGCCAAAATCAGCGAGAATGTTCCTGCGGGGGTCCATAAATGCTCGGAACTCCAATAAATGAAGAAGAATGACAAGCTCCTGCATTCCAACAGTTTGGACAAATGTCGATAAATGAATACGAAGAGGAAGAGTAACTAGCAGAAAAAAAAAACAAAAAAAAACGTCACATTACCATAAAAAAAGTTAAAAAAAAGAAGGGACATTAAACGTTTGCTATATAGTTCGTTTCAGCTCAGGCTCAGTCGACGCTACGAGTTAAATGGATCAATCAAACACCACCAGAAGCGCAAGCCACTGGCTCTCTTTTTTATGATTGGCTCAGTGATTATAAATAAAACATGACGGACACCATGACGGTGTGCTTTTGATACCGTCTGATTGCTACCATCAACTTGGCTGCGTCTGGACTTTAGCTGAAACGTTAAGAATAGACCAACTACGGTGGTCCAGCGGTGTATTTCTTTCGTGCGTGTATTTTCGTCCATCCTGTTTCGCTGGCCACTTTCCCAAGATCTACTATCTTTATGGGAGTGCAAGAAGGATCCCGCTGCGCATGCGTGCGTGGCTCGGCACATACCTTGCATCCCTCGCAGGACGTGACGCCGTAGTGGTATCCGGACGCCTTGTCCCCGCACACCTTGCACGCCACGAACGACTTGGCGGGACTGCTGCTGCTGTTCGAGTCCGCCGCCGCCGCGAAGCTTTGCTCTGCAACGAGAGAGGGACACGCCGTCAGGGCTGGCTCACTTATACAACCCTCGAGCGCATCTCCGTTGTTTCACTCTAAAAGAACCACGATAATTATTTTTTTTTAACTTCTTGCTACTTAGTTTTCCTAGAATCAAAAGAGAAATGAGAAATCGCGTGGTTTTGGCGTATAGTATCCCACCCAGTGCGATGACCCCCAACTTCCACCATGTTTTTTTTTTTTTTTTTAGCACACGATGAAGTTTGTTATTTTATAAGTGATGATAAGTGCAATCACGGCATTTCATTAGCCACGAACACGAATCCAAATATTCGTTGACGGATTGAGCGTTCCGAAGCGTAATTAGATGGGGCCGACAGACGTGCTTTGGGTACCTCGGATGTATGGTATAGTGAAAAAAAAGAGGAGGGCTTTTCAAAGGAAAGGAGGTATACTTTAAAAAGCTCCACTTTAAAAATGTGTGTGAAATTATGAGCATTTTTACGAACAATTTTTGTTGTCGTATACAGAAAATATCTGTGAATGGTCTTTAACCGAAACCGGTTCAGGAAAAAAAGAACTGTCATTTTCTGCTTCTACCTCTTTCGGATAATCAAGTGTTTCTATACTTCACGAAAAGCGGTTCTGAGAATGTATTAACACTAACACTTTGTTTGTGTATTTAAAGAAAAAATATATTTTTGTGTAAATTTAGTGCAAGGATTAACGCGCACCGTGTCTTCTGCGGTCTGACTTTTGGTACGGTGCCCATAGTTTTTAAGGTGGATGCCGGGTAACGGTTGTTTGTGAACCTTGGTTTTCCCGATGGGATAATTTCTGACGTTAAAGGCCGACGACCAGACTCGAGATCCTGCAAGGCAGAAGATCCTCCTCATCACGGGGAGAAGGAAATATGCAACGGTGGACGGGATAGAATAGGGGAGACGAGGAAGCGGGGGAAAAGTGGAAAGCGCGAACTGGCAGTCGGTCTTTAAGCTGAGTGCTGCGCATTCTTACCGGCTTCGTAGGGGCTTATGGCGCCGAGCTCTAACTAAAACACAGAACTAAAATGGGGTTCGCGGTACCTAAAGGCACAATGACACCGGCGGGAAAACGCGCGTGGGAACACCGCTTGCCGCAAAGACGCTCCCGCATAGCAAACGCCACAGGCAGGGTGTCGAACCAGTCAATATTTAGGCTGCAGTTCGGGTTCAGAAGCATTGTATTTTGTTCCGGTTCGGTTCCGGTTTAAAGTAGCGTACATAATATCACTCCGGCTACCGGTTTCAATAAGCGCGAACCGGTTCAAACTGGTTCCTAACTCGATCTTTGAATATTGACCAAGCACTTCTTGCAGCCTTTTCTGAGCACGAGACACCCATCTCAAAACTACTCCCTTTTCAGGCATATCTGAAAACCCTGCACATTGACGTGCACAAAAGATGGGAAGGCTATTACTTGTATAATACTGTTCTTAAATGAGCTATACATAAGCGATCGACTTTCCATTGTTATTGCGTCTTTTGCACACGCTGCTGTGCAGTATTTCAAACTCTGCCAGAAGAGGGCGTATTTTCGGGATGGGTGTGTAGACCTTTCCAAAAAAAAGGAGCTCGTGGCCGGTGCCATCTTCAGTGTTCGTGCGTATAGCGCATGCTTTGCTCGCTTTCCGAAGCGACGAAGCACGTGCTGGCCTGTGATTTTGTAAACAGTAAAAAGGTCTCTAGCTGGATTGCTTGCCCTCTATATGTTTGTGTTTGTTTTGCTCTGCACACACGTGTGTTTTAGACATGATACTTGCTTTCGGCGCCCCGTAAGATCTCACAGCTATGTCCGAGAGTGGCTGACACGGGATCGAGAGGAAACGAATGTGCCGTAAAACACAGAAACAGGTACGCCGAGCGCGCAGTCGGGGTAGTTGATTGAATTCCCTTAAGCTGTGGTCGTGTATACACCGCCCAGACTGGCCGATGTGTCAGTGACCGGGCACGTGAGCACGCACTGTCACTGCGGTCTACTTTGACTTTTTATCGTAAACAACGCTCTATGCAAATGCCCCGGTCTGAGCGACTCACAACCAGTTACATAGCATGAATTGTTAAAGTTAAGTCCGTGATAATATTATGACAGCTCTCACATTGGAAAATGTCAGTCACCGAACAAAGTTCCGGTAATATGCCGCCACAACGAACGGCGTTCCTCGAATGCTCAGTTAAAGACGACGAAAGAGGACATCAAACAAAAAGTAGAAAATTGCTAAACAGGTGGCATGCTGGCCTTGCTATAGTCTGACAAACCCACAAAGAAAATATACAAAGAAACATTTTTTTTCTCCCCCCAAGGCGCGGCGCTTCGGCGAATCATACCCAGTAATGTTGCCTCAGACAACCCATGTGTTTCTTCTCTTTTTTCTTTTTTTTTTTTTGTAAGATTGTTGAACACGTAAAAAAACAAGTGTTTTTTATTGAAAGGGATTACAGGCGACCCTACAAACTATAATGCCGATGTAGCGCGGTCCCAGCTTCATTCAGCTAGAGCACTATAGAGCTCCTTCGGAGCAGAGTAGCGCAATCTAGAACGCTGTCTCTCGGCGACTAGCGGCGAACGCCCGGAGGTTCCAACTGCGGTCAGAAATGCATGGAGAACGTGAGAAAATCGTTGTTTCTTCAGTATTGTGGGGATGTACGGAATGGCAATCGTTTTTGACACAATAATGGAACATTTTAGAATAATATGCGCTAAGTTGTGTGCCACGCAAGGACGTAACTTTTTTTTTTTTTTTTTTTTAATTGCCTGAGCGGCATCATGCAGCAGACGACACGGCGACGTCACACCATTCACGTGACCCGCTCCGGCCAACCCGAAAAGCCCATCTCCGCTGCGAGCAAAAATCGTCTGCTTCAAACGCCATTGCCTTGGAAATTGCCTTCTCAAAATGTGCACACGCATCCGATATTATTAAAACTTTGATAAACTGTTTCTTGCTTTACTAACTTCACGACAGGCTAGTTTTGAAAAATGTGAACTCGCCGTTAGTTTTTTAATCAGCCGTGTTGTGTCGATCTCCATGTATTCTCCCATAGGGCGGGCCGCCTCCTGGAACCCTGAGTACCACGTGACTCGCGCCGAGCCGCTCTGTCGGCCATGTTGTCGGCAAAACACGGGGTTCAAAGGATTGCGCTACTCTGCTCCGTAGGAGCTATATAGTGCTCTACATTCAGCGTGTCTCTGTACACAGCGGAAGATCACGTGGTGCGCTCTCGGTGCTCGATTGGCTAAATGGCTCATCGACTGCAACTGCGGTCCCATCTTGAGGTCAAACACTCGCGTAGGCCTCCGTGCCTAGATTGCCGCACTCTGCGCCGACACTTGGACATTTCGTAGCCAAGTGGCCAAGTATAAGGCTTTGAAATCGCCGCCGCCGCCACCGCGCCGCCAAGGTCAATCCAAGAAACAACGTAAAGTTGAAGCTCTCCAGATGCTTAAGTAGAGGCGGGAACTGAGCGAGCTCGCTGACCACGCGGTCTCTTTGTGTCTCTGCTTTTGACGGTGATGCATTTTTTTATTACGTATCCAATAGAAACGAGATGTAAAAATATCTGACAGTATATGTAGGATTATAGTCTTGGGAAGAAAGAAAAAAATACGCCCGCCACTTTTCTCATAGGAGCAATTCTTGACACAATTGGTCCCGAACTGCTTTCGTTGAACTGGTAACCGCCCCACCAGATTATGGTTTCGTTCCGGTTCGGGTTCAATATCAAGCGTTCGATTTTGGTTTTGGTTTTGTACCGGTTCGGTCAAAAATAACCGTTTTGATCCGGTTTTCGGTTCGGGTTCGGTTCGACACCCTGGCCACAGGGCGCCTGATACCACGTATCCGAGGGTCCTACCGCGAGGAGTGGTGAACCTCAGCGTTTTGCCTCAAGGTCGCGTGCTCTTTCAAACTATTTCGAGCACTTGCGAGATTTGCCGGGCATTTTGGCGGGCCGGGCCAGACAGCGGCGTGAAAGCTTGCCGCACGCCGCCGGCGGCCGCCCGTGCGGGAAGCACTCTTTCCAGTGCCCACCGAGCGAATTTGACTCCGCCAAACGACCGCGACCGTTCCAATCGGCCAACTGGTACTTTGCTTGTTGGCTTTCCTGCAACGTAATTCAATATAAATGTCGCTTCCTGAATACTATTAGGTTGTAGTTCTATACCCGGGCTTTCGATTGGCACAAGATTTATATTTATCATTACGACATAATATACATAAATGTGAAATTTTCTAAAAATACAATTTAGCTATGTTTTATTATGTTCGTATCAAAAATAAATTATTTCAATTCAAGTTTTTATTTTTATTGCATTACCTTTCTATTGGAATTATTTCCCTTTCCCCTTTTTCTTGCGTGTTCTGTTGAAGCGGCCGATCCCATATCCGGGCATTGGAATCGGGAAGAGAGTGATTTTGGCTGGTTGGGTTCACGCTGTGTCCGTCTTTATTCATCTGGTCCCTCGTCCTTTTAAGCTTCAAATATTTCACATCGAAGTCACGCCTAATAAATATCGTTTACTAAGTGCTGTACACACATGGTGCTATGGTTGGGATGTTGACCATTGTCATTTACTTAATTTAAAAACCACAACAATGCGTGTGATATTAAATTGAATATTTATTAAAAATAAAACGTTGCCATAATTGAGGCCCTTTCATTAAAAAAAAACATAAAAAATTTGTTTCTCTAACAATTTTTTATAATATTTACCCGTCCTTTTTATTTGGGTTTATACCGACATTCGTAGTTTTTTTTGTATATTTTGTTTCTGCATCGAAGTTTTTAAATGAACCCTGAGGCACCAGAATCGGACTGTGTGTGTGTGTGTGTGTGTGTGTGTGTGTCTGTGTGCATGCGTGTGTGTGTGTGTGTGTTTGTGTGTCTGTGTGCATGCGTGTGTGTGTGTGTTTGTGTGTCTGTGTGCATGCGTGTGTGTGTGTGTGTGTTTGTGTGTCTGTGTGCATGCGTGTGTGTGTATG